ACAAAGGTCATGTCATATATATATATATAATAATTTTTTTAAAAATAGAAATGAAAAATCATTTAAAAAAAAAATACATTCAAAACTTATTTTAAAAAAATGTTACTTGAAAAAATAAAAAATAAAATAAAAACTTATTTTAAAAATATGTTACTTAAAAATAAAATAAAATAAAAACTTATTTAAAAAAAGTTATTTAGAAAAATAAAATAAAATAAGAAGTTATTTTTAAAAAACGTCCCTTAGAAAATAAAATAAAATAAAAACTTATTTTAAAAAGAATGTTTTAAAGTAAACTAAAACCTTGTTTTAAAATAAACGTTTTTTTTTAAAAAAAAAATTTTAAAAATTTANNNNAAATAAGTTTTTTTTTTAATTTATTTTATATATATAATACAAAGTTACCGTTTTACCCATTTTAAAATTAGTGAAAATGGTGAAAAAGAAATTGAATGACGATTGTGAAATGTTATATGAAATTAAATTGGGTGGCACTAAGTATAAAGTTGGATGGTTAATAATGGATTTAATTCATATCTATAACCTATATTTTTTTAATATAATAAAAAAAAGTAGGGTGGTCGTTGATGGATTTAATTCAAATTGTTAAACATTAATATTGAACTGTTAGGATAAAAAATACAACACAATAAACATGACCAAATTACTGAACTCATTCTCCTTAACAAGATTATATTTCTATATAGGAGAATAATTTAATTCAAACTTCACATGAAAATTACATTCTACAGAGTGGTTCACAAGTCATCTTTTCTAACTCATATTTGAATTTTTCCAAGCCAATGATGGCGAGCATATTGGTACCACAACTCCATCTTCTCCCATACCGTTCTTGAAATTCGTGCAAAAACTAATATTTGAAGTGGTCGAAGCAACTCCACGATACACTGCATGGCCCCATCCAAAATCAGCCTTTACAAAACCTAAACGGGTTATGTCTGAAACAATGAAATTCCTACCTGTTGCGTATTTGGGTCGTTTCTTGATCACCATAAGATCTGCCACTGATTTAATGTACTCTTCACTCATTTGAGCCTTTGCATTTTGAATTCAATGAAATGCATACGACAATGGAGAAGTGCATAAAATTCTGGCTGTGGATACTGCTGCCGGATAAACGAAAGCATTGCCGTAGTATCCAGTCGGTATATTCAGGCCAGGCTTGCCACGCACATTGGCAAGGATCGAGAGACGAACAGTCTCGTCTGGATCAAATGGATTCAGTGAATTCGTACGACATTTCCATAAGCACGCTATTATCACATCAAATCTTGAGCACCTACGAAAACTTCCCGACGAGGATAGATGATTATAATGTGCTTGTATACCTTAGGACTAAAGAAAACGGCAGCCCGAATTAGCTTGTCCGAATCCATAAAGTCTGGGGATTGTGGTATTTGTTCATATTCATGGTGAATGCATGTAATTCTTGAGGGAGATCTTGCATTCAAATATTGTTCTCTTTGCCATACAAGTGAAATTGAAGGTGCAGATCCACCTTTCTCTAATTCAGAAATAGCATTTAGAAATTGCATCATCCCATAAGCATTTGCCATAGTGTGGTTCAATCGGATTCCCAAACCAAATCCACCACAGATGAATCTGGTTACCTGTATTTATGATTAATTTAAATAATTCATTTCAGTACGTATAAGCTACTTAATATCACCCATAAGATTCTAAAACATAAATTTCAAGTGCTTATTGTAAGCCATTAAAAGTAAATATTATGTTTTAGATGAGTTGTTCTGCTTGATATACAACACACAAACTCTCGCGGTTCAAATCATACTGTCACCTATTTTATGAAAATTATACACTCTAGGTGTTTGATGAAAATAATGAATTCAACGTCGATGATAAGAAGTATTATATACATTTATATACCTACATACTTGTTGGGTAGTATGTCTTATAGTATAGTTTTGTTGCAATAGATATGTTGACACGCAAAATAGGCAGCCCAAATCAAATGGCCCAAGCGAGGAAATTGATCCAAAGAAGAAGCCCAGATAGAGAAATCAGGATAAAAGGCCCAATCAGAAGTGTCATTAAAATATG